CATATACAGCAAAGTCACAATCCCCACAATTCATCTGGTATACACAATTCTGCTGGTTTTCTTGTTCTATTTTATCACCCTTAACCTTCACCAGTGGTGAGCGTAAGATGTTAGTTGCACGAAAATACACTCTTATGTTATGATCGTTAAGAATTCGCTTTATTTCATCGGATGTTTCTTTCCGGTAAGGGATCACCGCTGTACTAACCCAATTCTTAGCAGCACGTTTCCATTCATCCTTATCTTCACATTTTAAGTATCTTTTTATCAAGGCTTTAGGATAATTATTTGATTCAAGAGTGGACTGAACCAATTTTAGTTCCTTGCTAATATCTTCCTCCTCAGTAACTAGACTTTAGAACAATGACGTCCAAGGTAGAGAAAACGTCTCAGTGATCACCTTCTGAATAGATACGTTAGGCTTCTTAAGTTAGATCTCTGAACATCATCCTACGTGATGGGACGTAGATGTCGTAGATCTCTTTTAGTTCCATTTTGTTTTTTTATAATGAACATAAAGTTGGTGTTCAAGAAGGTCTTTAAAGTTACCTGTTGAATTTCGAAAGCAAACGATTAATCTTTTGTCTTTTAAGTTCATCTTTTACGCATAATATCTAAATCCATCGGAATCCACCCGAAGAAGCCGAACCTATGTGTTCAAAAAAGAGATTCGTTTAGTCACTTTCTGTACCTTCGCTATCACATTAGTTGATTGTAAAGATTTGATAATGTTTTTCGTTCACCCGTAAACCTTTCTTAAGCTATTACTGTTTTAACTCTCTTTGACCAAAACAAATATTTTTGTTAATTTCATCTCATGTTTAATTTAGTATCACATTTTTAATGCCTATTATTATACTTACATGTGCCTTTGAATTCTAATTCTTGGTTCGAATCCCAGTGGGTGCGTACTGCCGATGATTCCCAAACTAGGTTGAAACGGCTGTCCAGTACTCCTTGCTGGTTTTCAATGGTTCTCGTAAAACATAACTAACCCCTACAAACCAAATTATAGAAAGTTAATCTGATGCTCGCTAGTGACTTGCTACAGGACAGAGTTTCCTGGAATTCTTGTGAGGAGTCGTGACCAGTGAGGTCCAATTAGATGTCACGTGTGTGGATGGATGTCCTACCAACGAAATTGGTTGGGGTTGCGCTAAATCACGAGTTGGCAGAAGTTAGAATTCATGAACTGGCCATTGAATCGGGTGCTGCCAGTGGCTGAATGGTATACGAGCTAGCTCGCCTTGTAACCGGAAGGCCCTGGGTTCGAACTCCCTGTAGTGGGTGAGTACTGCCAATGATTCCCAAACTAGGATGGATGAAACAGCTGTCCGGTACTCCAGTGCTGGTTTTCACTGGTTCTCTAACTGATATTAATCCGTGATCAACTCATAAAACATAACTAGCCCTAACAAACCAAACTATAGAAAAATTCTAATTCTACTGTTTTTAGCAACTCAATATTACCTGGAAAAAACCATTAATTTTGTCAATAAAAATTTATTTTATTTATTATTTTAATCCTTCGTGTGGAACCCAGTGGAACATAACGTTTCAAGCTTGAAGTATGAACTTTCGATAACAGTGGTGTTATCTTTTTTACAGGGTAAGGTTGGTGGTCTTATGACCTAACTTCCCTCATTACCGATCTTATCACCGGCTAGACTAGGTTAAGGAGTACATCGACAGGAGATCGAATTCTGGACTATATGTGTAGTTTGTTTCAGTATTCTACTGCTGCTGAACCACTAACGCATTCAATAAGGATTACTCTTTAAGCATTAAGTGTATGCGTGTATTATTGCAAGTGGTCTGCTGACTTCTATATATGTGCATATATTTTCGGCAAATTCTTATATCACGTTAGGTATTTGTTATACTTTATTCCAGGTAATGGAGTTGAAATTAACTGGTATCACACTTCGGTGGCCTGACATTCCTCTGTTAACCAGAAAAAACCAAAATATCATTTGTTACTTCAGGTCTGTTTTGCGTAGACATGCTGTTTATCGTAAGCATATCAACCATCCGATTTTACTATAGGAGGCTACATCAGAGGCCCGAAAGTTTATTGACCGGTAAAATCTCAGTATCGATTATGTGTTAAGAGTGTAGGTGGTACAACTCAGAATTGATTAAAACTACTCAGATTTCTACATGAACTGGACTGAATTGAACTTTCGACGAAGAACTTTGCACAAAAGTGCAACAGCATAAGTCGCTACACACGCACACACTACATACAGAAGAAAGAATAATCACACAGAGAATTATGACGTCTTAATTAATCCATCTGGCAGATTACAAACAAGCGAATACATGTAAACCAATAAGAACAGGTTTCAACCATATCACTAACAATCTCAAACCAGCATTGGTTCCCAGAGTCTCTGATAACTCCAACCAGGTAGATAGTCTACACCTCACTGTGAAATTCTATTTGAATGGTATGAATTTGTTTATTAGTACAGACATGTGTACATTCTGTCTACCATGTTAACTGGTATAAAATCGTTGGGCACATTGTGAGATAAGGAGAGTAAGTCAGTCAATGATGTTGTAAAGTCACATCGATTGAGATGGCTAAGACACCGTGTTATACATTGACACATACGTGCTATCAACTTCTCTGTTGAGTAATCTTACCTGAAAGGATTGATTCAGTTGGAGTTGAGTTAGTGGTAGTTGAATCAAAGCATGGAATCAATTCATGAGGTCTTTGACTGTTGGTCTGAGTCAGCCACCACAAACATAGTGAAGTGTGGACTGTCTACCAGCTTGTTGAAGTTACCAGAGACTCTGGCAACCAATGGTGGTATGAGACTGTTAGTGATATGGTTGAAACGTGTTCTCATTGGTTCACATGTATATTCACTGTTTTGTAATCTGTTATATGGATTAATCAAGACGTCATGTTCCTCTTAGATTCAGATGGCTAGGTCACGTGCTGCGTATGCCTAACCATCGCCTCCCCCGATGGACGGGCATTACTAGCTGATATAGGTGCAGGTTGGAAAAGAGAAAGTGGTGGCCAAACAAAAACATGGCCTCATCAATCCATGAAATCCTTGAAAGTTAAACTGAGTCAGGTAGGGAGGGAGATGCAGACTTACGGGTTGGGGCCCGCCCTCGGGACTCTAAGAATCAATGGCTGGAGACAATAGGTGACATGGCTCAAAATCGTTGTCAATGGCTTACGCAGATGTATTCAGTCTCTGTAATCTTTCATATTCCTTTCTACCCTTACTCATTCTGTTTCACTCTTATACTTGTCACGACTCTATTGATTCTCTTCATTCATCTTCTTGTCTACCTTTGTGTGCTATTTGGAACGTGGCAACTCGAACTGCTGTACTTCGGTGCCAAGTTGTATGTTGAATCCAGACAGACAGTATTATTGCAAAATCAGATGTAGAAGTTACCGAAAAGCATATCTGCTTGAGCTCAGTCTTCTTTCTTGTCTTTAAAATACACAAATTAACTGGATATATGCAATAACTTAAATTTAAATAGCATCTAACACCTACTTCACTCACAGGTGGCTCTCGTTGCCGAGTGTATAACAGTGTTTGGTGTTTGAATCAGTGGGTAGAGGTTTCAGGCGTTAGTGGGAACCATAATCACTCATTGGGAATGCAGCTACATTCAGGTGACATGTCTCAAATGGAGGGGAATGAGCATCACTGATTCCACTCGTAGTGACCATCAATCAGCATAACATCACATTGATTCTCAATATATATATATAATATATATATATATACGAAGCACCAGCACTCGGAGCCGACATTGTCAACAGCAACCAAGCATTCATTGGTTCAACATATTCAACTAACGGAACATGCAAATCAACCAACGAATCATGACTGATATCTGTTGTTCAATAAATGGCTACCTTGACGCAGCGGACAACGCTTTCGGCCCTTGAAACAACGAGTAGTGAGTTTGAGCATCAATGAGAATACCACCACTGTCTGAGGAATTAGATAAACCCAGCTGATGACACCCGAGAGGAACTGAACATCAGTTCCTAGTTTCCACTGTTAGGCGGCATCAATCGATACAACCATATATATATATATATATATATATATATATATGCGTCAGACAGTGGGAAACGAGAAGACAGGGATATTCTGGACCGACGTGAAGAACCTAGAAGACCTGGATTTCGCGGATGATTTATGTTTGATGTCACACAAAATCGAAGACTTACAAGCGAATACCGACAAACTGGTCGAAGAAGCAGCAAAGATAGGACTCCAGGTGAACATAGACAAGACGGAAGTTATGAAAATAATCAACCAACAACAACAACAGCAGCAGAAACAACATCCAGCGCCAATCACCATCAACGGAAGGGATTTGAAAGAGGTTTCTTCATTCACTTATCTCAACTACAGGAGGAAACGGACGAGGATGTCAAATCGAGAATCGGGAAGGCGAGAAACACATTCATCAACCTGAAACCAATCTGGAAGTCTTCGTCACTCAGCATCAACAACGAAATTCGGATTTTCAATAGAAACGTCAAGTCAGTCAGTTCTTCTATACAGATCAGAAACTTGGCGGGTCACAAAGGATATTTCCAATAGGTTGCAGACCTCTATACTGAAGATCAGATGGCCGGAAAGGATCACCAACAAGAAACTATGGGAACAAACAAAACGAGAACCAATCGCCCAATAAAAATGCAGGAGAAAGTGGAGATGGATTGGACACTCACTGAGGAGGCTGCTGGGTAACATCGCGCGTCAGGCCAGTGCTCGAGTGGAACCCGATAGGGAAGCGACGAGTGGGACGTCTAAGGGTGACATGGAGGAGATCGTGTGAAGAGGAGTTGAAACAGTATGGAATAACATGGATGCAGGTGAAAAGTACAGCAGAAGACAGAAGCAAGTGGAGACGTGTAGTTGAAGCCCTCTGTTCCACTAGGAACCCAAGGGAACAATAAATAAATAATATATATAACATTGAAAATTGAATCCCCAACTTACGGAGTTTGTTTATACGGTGTATTCGTTGGTAAACTATCGTATACATAAGCTCCTTTAGTTTTTTGATGACAATGCATTTTTAATCGACTATTCTATGTTTGTGAATGCAATTTATTCCAATCTGGAGACTTGTGAACAAGTGTCTATCACTCCACAATACAAGATATACTCAGATTTCAACCTTCAGATCACGTGATATCTTTTAGTTTGTATTCAATCAATAAATACTATGTAGAATAAAATGAATGACTTGAAAAGTTGTTCACATTGTTGGTTAACATTATTTTATATCTGACTAAGCTGGTGGACCTTCAACCATCTTGGAAATATCAACTGTTGCTTCAACGAAGCGACAATTTTCGACGTTTTTAACCACTATATTATATTATTACAATTATATATAAAATAATTATGCTGTTTACATATGTACTTGCTCACCAACCATGCCAAGAGTATTCTGGGTTGGATTCTCAGTGGATACAACATTCATAAACCTCATCTAGGCCGAAAGTAGTTCCGGAAGAGAGGGAGTGTTGGACCTGAGACTAACGAACCTACACCTTGGAAATAACATCACCACTACTGTGAAACTTCGAAGCTTAAAGATTGACGGTCTCTTACGTTCCACTTGAAACATGAAAGAGTGGAAGACATTCCTGTGAATGTACTTATGTAAGTAAGGAGAAGATCCGGCATCTGACCACTTCTATGTGCATATATCAGTTCACCTGCTGCTCTGGAGCCAGGTACATCAGTTGTTCAAAGTAATCTACAGAGTCAAGAAAAACCTACCAAAGGAAATACAGTTTTGTTTTCTGTGTATCTCTGAAGCTCTGGTCATTCACGTAGGGAAAACTGGAGCTGTGCATACAAAAGAGAATTACTCAACCACTTCTACTATCATGGTAACAATTTTGTTAATTATTGATGACTTAATTTTGTGATGATATTAGATGGTTGGAGGCAATCGGGAGGAAGCCTTGGACCTAGGTTTCGTGCTAGTTGGCACTCGTCAGCAAGGCGTATCTGCAACCTTGAAGGAACTCATGTCCCTCCTGAGATTCGAACCCACGTCACCCAGTGCTGCAGTCAGAGACGTTACCACTGAGCTATTCGGGCTCGCGACTGACCTCCTGTAGGACTGTAGTGGATATTTTGATTTGACACTAGTAACTAGTGTGATGCATCTGGTCCTCTCTTTGGTGCAGACTGAATTCTATCAGTCAGGTTGTAATGTGGCCACCATTCTGTTTGCCTGTTACTTTATTTACTTTAAACTCTTGTATTCATTGAGAACTCCAGTTTGTTCCTATGTGTATCCTGAGTAAAACGCAATCACCAAACTATTCATATTATTATGTAACTCCTTTTTAACAACTGTTTTTGTCAACTCATCACCTACCTTTGCTACTACACTAGTTTCATTAACACCCAATTTTCTTGACTGTTTTTGTACTATGTAACTCCACCCAAAACTTACTAATTTTCATCTGTTTAGTTAAAATAACTATAACCAATTTTATTTTCGTTTGACAAACTTAATGTACACACACATTCAAAATAATCCATATATATATATATATATATATATATATATATATATATATATATATATATATATATGCGTTTGTTCAGCTAAGAAAATGAATTTGCTGGCTTCCTCCCGATTGCCTCCAACCATCTAATACCAACAGTTCACAGTGTACCGTAATGGCGAGCCACCTAGCATGGTGGCCACATTGCAAACATGACTGATAGAATTCAGTCTGCACCGAAGATAGGACTAGACACATTACACTAGTTACTGACTAGTGTGCAATCAAAAAAGAGACTGTTCGCTGACCTACGTATTTTGTTGTCATTAGTGTCTCACTGTGTCTACCAGTTTATATGTATGTGTGGTTACGCATATATAGGGAGGACCCATCTATCTCTGCAGTTCACGGTTACAGAACACATCGCTAAACGGCTCAAGAACACACGAAACCAACTGATTCAACTAATCCCGGATAAAGACGTCCAAAGTTATCTATTGCTAAGGACATCAAAGAGACCAGTCATAAAGTTGATTTCAGTAGTGCCTTTAAACAGATCTAAGTAATGTACTTTAATTCACCGAGGAGACAGGCTTAAAATGGACCCACACAGAAAATTGCAGGATCTGGATTTATCTGATAACACATATATGTCTAATTTCCGACAAAATGGAAGATATGCAAGTGATGAAAAGCAACAAGTTGGCAGAAGAAGCGTCAAAAATACGACTTCTGGTGAACATAGAGAAAACAGAGGTGATGATGAAGATTCCTGATCAACAGCAACAGCAACAACGACAACAGACAACAATCAGCATAAATGGAAGAAATCTGAAAAAAGCAGCTTCCGTAACGTACCTATCAACCTATGAAACATCGTTTCAACCACAGGAGGATGGAAATGATGAGGATATCAAAGTGAAGATCGGGAAAGCAAGACAAGCTTTCATTACTTTCAAGTCTGTGTGGAGGTCAACACAGCACTCAGCATGAAAAATAACATGTAGATTTTCAAGTCCAATTTGAAGTCAGTACTACTCACTATACGAATCAGAGACTTGGCGTCGTGTCACCAAGGCCACTTTGAACAATATATATATATATATATATATATATATATATATATATATATATATATATATATATATATAGTTTATATTCGTTAACCAATCACAGCGTATGATTTCGGTTTACATTATACGACATGAAATAGAATGTTCAAATATACATAGTATTCTGTTGTTAATGCAGTATATAACCGTGGGAAATGTATTCTGTCAAATAGAATATTCAAATAGATATATCGTATTCTGTTGCTAATGTCGAATTGAACTGTGAGAATAATATTCCGCTGGGACACACTGTCTGTATCACACGTCCACACCAATACCATACTATAACTGCCATTATTCGATTAAAATTAGATGCAATCTTGTACCAAATGCTGAAAATTCCCCAGTGTAACACTGTGGTGGTGTGATACAGACAATGGATTCCAACGGAATATTATTCTCACAGTAAGAATCATTGTATTTGTTGGTGGGTGTTAACGTCTGAATACTATTCCCACAGTTCAATACTGCATTAGCAATAGAATACTATATATGTGTATTTGAACATTCTATTTCATGTCGTTTAATGTAAACCGAAATCACACGCACAGTGATGATTGCTTAAAGAATATAAACTGTATAGTTATGAATAACGGTTTGATCACTTGAAAATATACCTTGGCTTCCATGCCTTGACTTCGGCTGTTACAACACTAGTACTGTTTTAGAATAAAGCAAATAATAATAATAATAATTATTATTCTAGTACTTCTAGTACTTGTAACAACATTGTTGATTTCTAGTGTCTTGACTGTTTCATTATATTTATTTCTAACTCCTTATAACTCTTGTATCTTCAAGGATTGGCTTTGTAGGGATTTTGTTCAATTGGTTGGAGAATTTCACCATGAGATTACATCAGTTAGACAACCATTAGAAAACCATCTGGGAGTACTGGACAGTCAGCTGTTTCGTCCCAGTTTGGGACTCTTCACCTGGCAGGGTTCGAACCCACGACCTTCTGGTCATAAGGTCAGCAAGCTGGTAGACCATTAAGCCACTAGGACCTGATCCAATGGCCAGCCCATAGACTCTAACTTCTGCTAATTCATGACATTGCGCGACAACTTCGCAATGTCTTCTTCGATGAGTTACTGCCTCACCTTCAACCTGCTGCACCCTAGTTTTATCTCACCTTTTTTTCGGAAAACTGATCCCTGAGTAAACTTATCAGTAATTTAGCTAGCCGATAAGGTTCGAAATGTCTTACCTTTGCTTCCAGCGGATAAGAAGAAGCTAAAAAAACTACTTACTAAAGTCCCACATTCTCTGACTTTACGCTCACGTGGGCTATTCTATCCAATTAGGTCGCATACACAGAACAGTGAACAGTAAAGGCTTGTCATTATAGTTGAATATCATATACATTCTTCACTATAATGCACTAATTCTATGGAAAATCCCTTCTCAAAAATCCAGTTACAATATTTATACTCATTTGGATGGTTCAACTAACTTTATAATTATTTAATTCAATTTTAGATTTTCCCGTCGATTGATTGGATGGAAGTGTTCGGTCTCAGGCTGACATTTCGGCTTCTTGTGCAGATGCTTCGACGATATCTGGGCATGTAATTAGAATTTCATTGGTCGATAGTGACTAGCAGTGGAATCTAGTACGCACATTTCATCCTATTTGGGACTCGTCATCTGGATGTCACCATCCTCAAATGACACCAATTTTGTCAAATATGCTGACAGTGTCTTTGCCTGTCAAATGTCAAAGTGACTGCTCTAAACTTAATGGCTTTCTGTCAGAAATCAGCTAGTGGTCCAAGGAAAATGGGTTACCTTAAACCCCTCCAAATGCCAAACAGTCAATTTCACCTTTAGGCATAAATCCGAACTAAACAAACTGGTTGGCTCTCACGAGGTGTGCAACATAGATGGCACTGAAATAGAAACCAAGTCGGATATCAAACACCTAGGCGTCATTCTATCTGCTGATCTCTCCTGCTCGTCTCATATCTTGGCGATTTCCAAGAAAATATTCCATCTTACCTTCTACATCAAGAAGTTAAGAAATTCTGGTATAACCCAACCCTTACTCCTACGCTTCGTTAACTCTCGCATTCTGCCTATTATTCTGTATTCTTCCCCGGGCTACTGAAGAAAGACTATAACATATTACACAGGATGTTAAAGGTTGTCATCAGGGTAAGCAACGTGCCACTTAACCAGCTTGTTAATATTCTGGTTGACAGGCACATGCACTCATGTGAAAAATGGGCCAAATCCATTTTATCTAACTCACACCACCCTCTTCACTGACAACTCTCCCCTTGCATCTCATCAGGTAAAACCAGAAGCCTATATAGAAAACTATATGCTCGCGCCAGCAAGTGCAAAAACTCAACCATACCCTACTTAGCTCGTGTTCTGTGTGATTAAGAAAGCATTAGGCGTGACACCTATAACTTATTAAATAGT